CAATATCCACACTACCGGGTATTCTAAACCATGCATACGTACACATAATGGCAATATGTCTATCTATACTGATATAGATCTACTGAGTGTGCTTATTGCACATACTAAGGCGGCAATGAATATACCATGAGTGAAATAGAATGGATTTACACTGACAGGCAATATTCCAGCAACATCATGACAGAGGACATTAGAAATGTAAAATACTTCAATTTCAATTTCAATTTCAATTTGGTCAATGACGGTTTGACAAGTTTCCGTGTCACCCTCCCAGGATGGTGACAACTGGAAAAAATATTACCCACTGCCACGGTAACTGCCAAGCTCTCCGTCGAGAAGCTGAAGCGCTAACAATCGTATTACGTCATAATATGACGCATGCCGTGCCCGGAGATCGAAAACCATTCGATCAGCTGTTTTTGTGTTCACTTTGTACAGATTTATTTTACCGACTTTCACTGCTTTATTTAAGCTATTTTATACATTGAGTGGTTGCACACTCAGCTTAAACATAATTAACAATATTTATAGCAGTTTTATGCTTGCCAGAATATGTTTCACTGATGTTAACAATCCAGTCGAGAGGCAGACGCCATTTTGTTTGCATGTCATATAGTCGGTAGTGATCTTTTACATAAAATACAATGATATTTTGTAATTTAACATGGCGGTAAGATAAATACGTTGTATGCTTCTCCCTCGGGTAATACGGTCTGATGTACGCCTCTTTGTAGCATTGTCATCCCTCGCCTACCGGCTCAGGTGACACTGCTACAAAGAGGCGTACATCAGACCATATTACTCGAGGGAGAAGCATACAACTTATGTCACGATACAATACATGTCGCGATATTTTACCTGCGATACGATACGTATCACGATACATACACCTTGAAGTTGAAAGAATGACACAGTATCAAGATTTAAAATGATTATTTCAAGGTATTTGTGTTTAACAATAACACTATTGTTATAAACAAACAAGTAACTCCATCATACTTGCCTATTGTTCTCTAAATAAGTACTGTAACATGTTTAAGATAATACTGTTTTGAAAAAAAGTTGTGTATCGTTTTGTATCGATACACCAGTCGACAATACAATAGTTGTATCAAACTGAAATGTATCACGATGCATCGATGAATCGTCCCAGCCCTAACTAAGCCACCTACTGCCCCTGGTTCATTGTGAACACAAATGATAAAGTACATGATTATAAAGACAATAGTAGTTTACAAGATGTAAAATGAAATAGAAGGGGATTTTTGTACAATGAACATATACTTAGTTAAAAAAGAAACGCGACATGTCCATTTGAAATGAGAACTGTTATCCCACATACGTGCTTCCAGCCACTATATGCTTTACACAGAACGCACCACAGAAAGACATAAAAAAAACAGCAACGACAGTGGATTTAAGATCTGATGAAATTTGTATTGTGCCCAACCTGAAGAGTCTGCATTAGACACGTTTAGAAGCTTAAGCTGATATTCGATGTTATCAGTACCTGGTATGACCACCATTATTGTTTATCACATGAGTACACTGTCTTCCCGTGGACATGAACAAACTTCGAATGGAAGTACGGGGAATGTTATTGTACTCATTCAACACTGCATTCTCCAACTGCCGCCAATTTTGTGGAGGAACTGGTCTTTGACGAAGGCGTCGGTCCAACTCGTCCCAGAGATGTTCCACTGGATTCAAATCAGGACTAAGAGGTGGCCAAACCATTGTCAGGATGTGGTGATAGGTCAGTAATTGTCCTGTGATAATGGTGGTGTGGGCCTGGGCATTATCGTGTTGGAACTGCAACTGTGGTCTGGGTCTAAAGAACGGGATGACAACAGACTTCGTCAAATGTAGCGTCGTGCAGTTACACCCCTTCCACGACCTTGACCGTTGTTTCGGAAGATTACAGGTGGTACATGCCTTCCCCAGCTTATTCCATCCCACATCATAAGGGATGGCCCACCTCAGCAGTCACTTTCCAGAACACATGGGTCTCTGAAACGTTCATTTCGTCGATGCCATACTCTCACTCTCCCATCTGCAAGTTTTTGTGGACACAAAAACGACACTCGTCTGAGAAAACAACTTTCCGCCACTGTGCATATCTCCAATGCTGATGTTGGCGAACCCATGCTAAGCGCAGACGGCGCTGCCATGGCGTCAAAATAGGTCCAACATAGGGTCTCCTACAGTGTAGCCGGTGTGCTCTCAAACATTGACGGACAGTGTTTCCTGAAATTGGTCTGTTGTGAATCCCAGTTGTCTGATGGGCTGTAACAGTAGCTGGAAGAAAACGGTTACGAAGATGTGACGTTACGATGTAACGGTCTTGCCTGTGTGGCGTCACTCGTTGCCTGCCATCTCTAGGTCGATCTCTCACCGAATTCGTTTGATTTTGGCGTTCAATCAGTCGGTAAATTGTCGTCCAATGTACTCCCATATGTTGTACATCGTTGACAACACTGGAACCAGCATCAATTATCCCAAGAGGACGTAGACGTGCTTCATTGCTCAAACGTGGCATATTGTTTTCTGAACCATTCAGTAAAAGACTGACTGACTGAGTTTGGTTTTACGCCGCTTTTAGCAATATTCCAGCAACATCACGGCAGGGGACACCAGAAATGGGCTTCACACATTGTGCCCATGTGGGGATTCGAGCCCGGGTCTTCGGCGTGACGAGCCAACGCGTTAACCACTAGGCTACCCCACCACCCTTCAGTAAAAGAACACAACAGAAAGTGTCGTCGCATCTTTTAAAGGGTTCTTTCTCTCGTTTTTCTTGAAGAAAGTGTCGTAGCATTAAATTCACGTGCACAACGCGTCAGGGCATGCGTTTATGTGATGCGTTTCTGTTGTTTTTCCCCATAAAAATGTTCAATAATTAGATTCAATTGTTACGGCTAATCTGATGTTAAAGGTTTTGTTTCAGAAGTTTAATTTCGAAAATTGGTTTCAAAGAACATTTAACATGCACATTCGTTATGATTGTAAAGTAGATAAGACAATTTTGGAAATTTCAAAAACAAACATGAATGTCGCGTTTCTTTTGGAACTAAGTATATTATGCTCTTCTCTGATGATGTGATAAGTAATACTCAAAACATAAAGAAATTCATTATGCCGAGTCATCATGGTATGACCTATATGTTCTTAATCCCTGCATTTAGGCAGTTTTCAGCTGTTTACTCAATAATAAGGAGCTATGAAACAAATCTAATTTATTGTGAGGTGATGTGAAGAAATTATTTTATTTGAAATTACCAGCTTGCATCCTTTGAGATTCAACAGATCAGGGCAGCAATTTTATTTTTTGTGTTTCTCATCGCCTGACCGCCCCTTCTAATTTTATTGCCGAATGATTATCTATCTAAAATGTTTTAATCAGTCGCTGCCACAAGTCCAAAGAACGTGAGAACATCAAGAACATTATTTAGATAATTTTGTCTTTATTAAGTTTTGTTTTTTTCAGGTTTATTTTCCCGACCAACTGACCCATGTTCAGAATTTGGTGGCTACGTGATACACAAAAGAAAAAATTGATGCCCTCAAGGTAATCTAATTGAATTTTTCCATTTCATCAAATCATCTGTCACTAATCTAAATATATATATATGTTTTTTCTATGGTGATTACTTCTTGGCCAGTGCATGCTGGTTTGGAGTCTGCTGTCATCAGTCCGTCTCGGCATGCTTAGTATACCACATAAACAGACGATTACCATTGCCCTGAGTCATTAGCAAGTAATCACGGTAATAGCATTACTTGCATACATTGGAACAAACACATTCTGGAATTGTACACAGTCTGTAAAAGGTTGAACACATGTTTGTTTGTAAGCTTTAAGTTTTGTTCTGTGTATCAAATATGAATGGCCTTGAGCCCAGCCTGAAAGTCACCCAGAACAAGTCATAGCATAATGACTGGCGAGATAAAGAACAGGTCTGCAAACAGCTTGATCTTTGTCATTTTGTATTTTGTATCATTTACAAAAAACATTATTTCATCATCATCATGACCATATGCTTGCAGCGATTGATTTTGTTTTATATACACTGCACAAATGCAGGTAAAATATAGCCAATGCAGATAACCTTGTATTGTCAGTTTGCACGGAGTGTAGGTAACTTTTTTTACCATCAGTACATGGCAGCAGTTTTACTGGTATGAATTGCTCATATCAACAATGTCTTTTCCTGTGGTATGTATCAGGTAAAAAATGTAAACAAGTCTGCATTCATGCTCATTCATAAATTCACCATTTGGAAACATTTCACGGAAGGCCAGAAGTCACTGTGCAATAATAGGAGGAATAGTAGACAATATGATTTTGCAGACAACATGGAAATAAAATTGATTTAATGAATGAAAATATCAGCTAACGAGCAAATATCAGTGATAAATCTTCGTGCATGCAGTTTGTGGGTAGTTCTGGAGATTGTGAAGTTCCCTATGAATACATCTCAGTCAGCTGATAAGCAATGGTCTGCTGTCAAAGAGAGTTGACGGCAGGGTTTAGCCAATATTTTGATCAATTCACTTCATTGCACCTAGTGTAGCTAGTAAAAAAATGAAGTTGTACCCTGGCTTGTATTCACATGACCCATCAGAAACCTCCTTGTAAACAACTGACACATGTATTTGTTATTCTGAATATTTCCTTTGAGGTATTGGCTAGATAGTGATATGAATGTGTCTGATAGTCATTTGATAACTGTTTCAACTGTAAGAGCAGCTATTTTGACAATTGAGGAGACCCACACTGACATGTAAAGCAGATGACTCATGCTGAGGCTCATATTTACCTATACAAATCGAAGTTACATCATCCCAAATAGAAAGTTACGTCAGAACTATTTTTGGCTATTCCAGGAAAAGACATTATTATGTCCAATATGTTTAAGTGAACTGTGTGATATATAGAAGGCGTTACAGAGTGTCCCATACTGGGTTTAGTTAACATACACGTTCGACTTTCTACTTACGTCCTGTTGAGCATCGGGACTGTAGTAAACGAGGACGAGAGTAGACAGGATATTGACAAGCAAACCCACGATCGTCAATGTGTTTGGGGCCCAGGTGGTGGGTATTTGTTCAATAAGCCACCTCCAAAACACTTGCATAGGTGGTTCCAAAATGGATGTCCCTTCGGAACTGTACTTGTGTTCTGACAGTCGCTTCAGCTGTGCAGATGTTAAAACCTCCATCATGATGTCGATTGGGAAGTACAGATGTACTATAAACGACGGCAGTCAGAAGCTAACTGATATTTGTTTCAAGAATGTTTTCTTTCTTTTCTGTGTCAGCTGGGACCCTCCACATCACAAGGTTTTCGACCCACCATCAGAAAACAGCGGAAGTGTACAACGCGCAAGTGTATCTGCACGTTATGATAATACTTCCGGGTTACAGGTCAATTTGTCTGTCGGTAGAGTTCACGCAACGCGTTAATCGCTTCACAGGAGCATGACAAACATTCATAACTGACGGCCTATGGAATTTTTCGTTATCCAATACATTTCACTTTTTCACAAATATTTTTTCTAACGTTGTTAACATACAGCCAACCAAACTTGTCTGTTATTATCATGGTTTTACCTCAATTTCGTCAGACATTCCACAGGTTAACATGGATAATTACACAAGCATCTGATATGAGACAGGTTAAAGGGTGAAACGATAAACTTGTAACACGGGGTTAAGGTAGACGTAAGGACTAGGAACAATGAAGGTCGTTAAGAGCGAGACGGGCGGAAGCTGTGCGCGGTTAGCTGCACTAAAGGTGCAATATTTTAAACAATATCGTATATAAATCCTCATAAATTGCCTCAATGTATTTTGTAAGCATAACATGATTTAAGCGAAGCAGAGACAACAAGGATGTAGGTTGCGGGTACATAACCTGCCTTTGAACCATACTAAGTGTTTATGTATCGGACAAATATAAACAAATAATCGTATTGAAGCTTTACACAAAGTCATTATCTAGAATGTTTTGTACAAAACTAACATGCCCCCAACGCAAATTATTTCGCGAACAATTTCGTTAATTAGACTGCATGACCTTATGCCGCGTGTACAATTGGTATAATAAGAATGGCAGATGCTCGCACGAAATAACTGTGTGTCCAAATGGTGTTTCCATGGCATTTCTCTTTGGTTCAATTGGTTCCTACCCTGGTTTGACGTCGACGTCGGTGGTGGGGAGACCAGACAGAGGCTCACCCATCATATCCACATGGGCAGTCGAACCTTGGCCTTCAGCCTTTAATCTTGAATTAGTAAACTAAAACTGAGCATATCTTGTAGACTAGCCAGGTCCAAGTCCAGGAACTCTCTCAGGTTCGGCGTTATCGCGGTGAATATATTGGATTATACAATGGAAAAATAGTTAATTTGTGTTCCTGCAAAATGAGTATTAATTACAGTTAGTATGTCAACATAAAGAGCGATGATTTATGGTGAATGCGGGATATTCCCACCGTTCGTTGTATCTTACTCTCGTTATTTGAAATACTGGTGTATTAATATGTCTGAATATCGCTCACGGGCGGATCAAGGAATTTTGAAAAGGGGAGGGGAGGATGTTCCCAGGGGGTTAAAACCCTGACCCCCTTGGCTGTGCCAACGCAATTTTTTCAATGTGGTCTTAATTTTCAAGAGGGGGGGGGGGGGGTGGGGGTGTCACACACACACACACACACACACACACACACACACACACACACACACACACACACACACACACACACACACACACACACACACACACACACACACACACACACACACACACACACACACACACACACACACACATTCCCCCCGGATCCGTCACTGTCGCTTGCCTAAAATTGCCTTCAACATCCCTGTACATCTTGATAATCTTGGCAAGAACATTTGGGTATTATATATCCGCACAGTGCTGTGTAGATATGGCACTGGCTATATTTGGTTATCGCAAACATTCTTATCACACAGTTTGGTATGTGTGCCGTAAGAATGTTTTTTATGTTTAACCAGGGCTGGCATTCCCCTATTTATGAGTGGGTGAGTATGGTTTTACGCCGCTTCTAACAATACTCCACGCTTTAACCATTAGGCTTTATCATTACGTTATAAAAGGTGAATTTCACATTTTGTTTATTTGACCTAAATATGACAACCTTAGGAACAATTATTTACCACAACAGCCATTTTCTCGTGCGAATATTATTTACACTCTTGCTTATTGTCCCGCAACGAGCCTCCTCCAAAACAACACCGAATAGCCCTTTTATGTATGAACTCGTGTTAAGACACTTTATGTGTGGGGTTGCCTGACAAGTGTGAGACAGTGTATGTGTAAGGGGAACGAAAGAAAAATGTACAGACTGTTGTGAGAGAAATCTACACATGGAAATTATCAATATGTTACCATTTACAACATAAAAGGAACTATTTAATCTCCATTTAACTTATTATCTGGATAGATTGAACTGTAGGTTATGCAGTGAAGAAAACATGGCAAAAGATTGTCTCATTTTGTAGTGCTGATAACTATGGTCGTATGACGTCAACAAGTGCTCTCAGTATCAAGAATTCTGGCATTAATGCTTCATACAAATTAGCATAGATCTGCAACAATAGCAAATAGAATAAAGCATATACTACCTTTAATAATACATGAGGACCAAAGGGGTTTTGTAGCTGGTAGCTTAGTGTGTCATACAGACCCTGAAGTAAATATATCCAAGAAAGCCCACGCACGTCTAGAAAATGTGGCAAGTCTAGATTTCCACAGCTTCTGAAAATGAAGAAAGTCTCAGGGCTCCTTTTCATTATATTTTATTTTTTTCTCTTTGAGCGTTTTTTTCTGTAAAATATGTTCCTTTCAGAGACACGTTGTAAGTCTACTGGTAGCTATATTGTGGAAGTAATCAGAATGGGGGCTATGATGTCTACTGGTAGCTATATTGTGGAAGTAATCAGAATGGGGGGCTATGATGTCTACTGGTAGCTATATTGTGGAAGTAATCAGAATGGGGGCTATGATGTCTACTGGTAGCTATATTGTGGAAGTAATCAGAATGGGGGCTATGATGTCTACTGGTAGCTATATTGTGGAAGTAATCAGAATGGGGGTCTATGACGTCTACTGGTAGCTATATTGTGGAAGTAATCAGAATGGGGGCTATGATGTCTACTGGTAGCTATATTGTGGAAGTAATCAGAATGGGGGTCTATGATGTCTACTGGTATCTATATTGTGGAAGTAATCAGAATGGGGGTCTATGATGTCTACTGGTAGCTATATTGTGGAAGTAATCAGAATGGGGGCTATGATGTCTACTGGTAGCTATATTGTGGAAGTAATCAGAATGGGGGCTATGATGTCTACTGGTAGCTATATTGTGGAAGTAATCAGAATGGGGGCTATGATGTCTACTGGTAGCTATATTGTGGAAGTAATCAGAATGGGGGCTATGATGTCTACTGGTAGCTATATTGTGGAAGTAATCAGAATGGGGGTCTATGATGTCTACTGGTAGCTATATTGTGGAAGTAATCAGAATGGGGGTCTATGACGTCTACTGGTAGCTATATTGTGGAAGTAATCAGAATGGGGGTCTATGACGTCTACTGGTAGCTATATTGTGGAAGTAATCAGAATGGGGGCTATGATGTAATGGATTATACAGAAACTTACCAAAAACCAGGTCTGTTATTACTCACTGATTTTGAGAAAGCCTTAGACTCTATAGAAAGAAAATTCATGCATAATGTCCTAGATTTTATCGGCTTTGGACCTGATTTTAAAAACTGGGTAAAGATACTTTTTGAAGATCTTGAATCATGTGTTTTAGTGAATGGATATGCAAGTTCCTTTTTCAAAGTTTCAAGAGGTTGTCGCCAGGGTGATCCAATATCACCACATATATTTATACTGTGTGCAGAGATGCTGAAAAATGCTGAAAAAAACCCAACTGATTTGGATTGGGTCAAAAAAGAGAACAAGGTATAAGCACTGTAAGGAGTGGAAAATGGACTGGTCACAGACTCAGTTTAAACTACTTGGTATAAAATTTGCTGTTGATTTAGATAATATAACATAATTGAATTACAACAAAAAGTTTGAGAAAATTGAAAAAGAAATGGCAGTGTGGACGAAAAGAACCCTAACACCCTTGGGTAGAAATGTTGTGTTGAAGTCACTACTCCTTCCAAAACTTAACCATTTGTTTAGTAGTATCCCTAGACCCTCTGAAAAAAAACAGTGGAAGATCTTTAAAAGAAGTGTTATCAATTCATTTGGAAGGGTAAAAGTGATAAAATCCAAAGAAATATTATGCAATTACCACCTAAATATGGGGGTATCAGTGTTCCTCATGTAAACACAGTTATTGCAGCACAAAAAAAACTTTAAAAAAAGAAAGAATTCTGGCATACAAGTACCAATAGCTGAGCACATTGTCAATATTTGGTTTAACTGCAATAACATCCCCAACATCTATTCTTGATGGGTGTTTGTTCCAATACATCAAAATGTTGTACTGGAGATTTCTGTGGCGTATTCTGCGACCTATATGTCCCAAACATGTTCTATGGATATGCGCATTACTGTTCAAATATGGCAATATTTTGGTTGTTCTTGGCGTCACGTGAACATAGCACATCGTGACGTCTTAGTTCTTGGCGTCAAGTAGCATAGCATATCATGATAAGGTAGTTCTTGGCATCATGTAATGTAGCACATCGTGACGGGATAGTTCTTGGCGTCACGTAACATAGCACATTGTGATGTGGTAGTTTTTGGCGTCACGTAACATAGCACATCGTGATGTGGAAGTTTTCGGCTTCACGTAATATAGCACATCGTGACGTCTGAGTTCTTAGGCGTCATGTAACATAGCTTATTACCCTTCAGATAAATTTGTCGAATTCTGATTGGTCGATAGCCAAAGCATACCAAACCATGTAGGTGGATTTGCCAGGGTGTACGAACTGTACACCCCCTCAAATCTGTCATGTGACACACTACACTGGTTGTACGAATGACCTTGACCTTAGATGGAATGTGGCCGCCAAACGGCTGATCGCTTCGAAATTTTAGAGTTGGCGTATAAAAAAATGAGTATAAACAGAGTCTTAAAACGGTTGCCATAATTTCTTATTTGTGTCAATAAATATATCCAAAATATTACAATGTTTCTGTATTTCACTTGTCGTTTAACAAAACATCAAAATCGATATTTTTTATCATAAACTAAGCCATCCCTAGTTATCTCCCTTTATGGCCATTTAGGAAAAATCATGGCGAAATAATTTGCGTCTCAATCTACCGATGATTGAATGTTGTTGTTTAAAGATAAGCTAAATAAAAATATCTTAAAGGTAATAAATTCGACACACGGTGTTTTTAAAGGGTGTACGGAATTTACAAGGGTCTTACAGTCCCGCACACCCTTTAAATACACCGTTTATGGGGTCCCCTGTCGTGATATTGCTGGAATTATCTGGTGATATTGCCTAAAAGCACACTCACTCACCCAGCCTCCTGCTGAGAAACGTAATGATGCTTACTGACATGTATTGCATGCAAGTTCAAGTTTTGCACGCCACGCTACACAAGGTGATGAGAAGACCAACCACGCATTGTTACGTCAGATGACACCAAGAACTACCCCGTCACGATACGCTATGTTACGTGACGCCAAGAACTTCCACGTCACGATACTATTAGTTACATTGGACTTAACGCATTTTACCCATGTGGGAAATCTTCGGCGTGACGAGCGAACGTTTGAACCACCCCTATCGCCCGCGCAGCAGAAGGGAGGCACTGGATACTCAAGGCTTTAATTATAAGGATACTCAAGGCTTTAATTATAAGTGAAGTTAGGGTAAGTGTTAACTCGTAGATTAACAAATTCTTATCACTTCCGTCTTGAAAGAAGGTATTTTTCAGTGACAGTGACAGTCTATAAATGTAGGTCATGCAATTAAATATTTCAGTGAATACAGTATTTAAATACACTGCACACTCTGTACAGCATCAAGGAATTCATTGAATGACCGTCCTTTAACACATTTCAAGTGAATGAAACCAATCACCGCCTATATCCTCATGATGTAAGACGGAAGTGTGTTAACACAAAAAAGCTGACTCTTGCCGGTAAACTTGTGATGTTTACCCCAGGAAACGTTAATTTTGCTGGTATTTCACAGAAGTAAAACATGAAAACATGTGAAAGGAATCTATATTACCAATTTATGTACATTATCAGTCTGGGATATATGTACCCGTAACCTTGCTCGTGGCTAGGCGTTCAGGTAGGATCAGCACATCATGATTTGTCTTAGTCACTTTCTGTTTCCATCTTAAGGTTCATCTAGTTGCCAAGTGCAATATGTGTCCAACAGGCGTTTATATAGAGTATGAATCACTATTTACCGGATATATAAGGGTAAAATATCAACCAACGACAGTATGTACTATTCTCTATGTACTTGTGTTCAAATGCCTTTCTCTTCTCTCGAGACATTTGAGCATAAAAGGTGCAGTCAGCTTTGACGGATGGAGTTACGCAAGTTTAGTGCACACGGATATATACAGACAGTCTTTTTAATACACACAGTCGTATCTTACAATGACTGTTCACCTACGTAAGTTACAGTTAAAATATCAACTTGTGTGTGTGTACGTGTGTGCGTGTGCGCTGGTTAGCATGACACTTGAATTCGTTGATATATTTAGCATGACAAGAATGTTATACCAAATCGTTGGTAATGGATTTTAGAAAGCATCAGACACCCAGTGTTCTATTTTGGGACACAAACAGGAGCTGACTATTGCCACATCTGAGTGATCTTGCTCGACGATATGTGACTGGCTGACTGAGTATGGTTTTACGCCGTTTTTAGCAATATTCCAGCAATATCACGGCGGGGGACACCATAAATGGGCTTCACAAGTTGTACCCATGTGGGGAATCGAACCCGGGCCTTTGTCGTGACGAGCGAACGCTTTAACCACTGGGCTACCCCACCGCCCCTGATGATATATGAACATTTAGTGTATCCAGAGTCCATGTAATTATAATGCTATTATATGGTCACTGGAGTATCAGTTCTCTCATGTAAGATTGATCGACCTCAAAAGATGCTTTGTATTCAGTAGGCCTATAACTTTATACAGTGAACATAAATATATAGTTCACTACCTTCTTGTTGCTGATGGACATTTTGAAGGAGGTGAGGTGAGGTGAAATTGGGTTTAACGTCGGGCTTGAGAATGTTTCGCTCATATGACGACGTGCATGTGTGTATGTGTATGTGCGGCTGCTTGTACTAGCCCAGACTTAAGCTGGTTTTATAGTGCTAGCCCACTGAGATACCATGCCGCAGTGAAGCATGAATACCCCACTCAGACACATTATACTGACTCCGAGCCGACCAGTCCTTGTTGTACCCATTAATGCCGAGCGCCAGGCAGAGACCAACAAGTACCATATTTTAACGTCATTTGGTATGACGCGGCCGGGGATCGAACCCGCGACCTTCCGCTCTCCGGGCGGACGCTCTAACCACTACACCACGGAGGCGGTCACATTTTGAAGGAAGCTGAGGAGGAAAGTGTGCATCTATTTACAGACGGCTGCTTTTTCCTCGTAACTGTTATTGAAGTACTTTAGCTGGTCCCTGGCGGGTGTTTTTCCAAGGTAGGGGCACTTCTGGTTTCAGTGCATGTAGCCGAGTTTTCGAGTCTGTATCAACACTAGCATAAAGGCCTTCACGCCTCCACGTGATCCAGGGCTGAGACATGTGTGTGCAGGGTTGAACTTGTAGTGTATTACGTCTTTTGTCACTAGTTTCTCAATAGTAGACACAACCTGCAGAGGCTGGCATGGCCAGGATAACATAACAATGTTGATCGTGAGAATATACGTAGAGGATCTTTTTTCGTACATCTTGGTAATATACTTCCAGCTGATTGTATGAGAGCCACACGCTGATGAAGATGATCGTGGGGCAACCTGGAATAGAATGTTCAGCTGTTATATCTCGACAACAGTGCCTGTATTCTATGTCTGCAAATGTTGCCACATTGATACTGCTATTATAACAGTGCACATATTCCAGGTCCACGAACTTTGCTACTGTAATACTGCGATTATTACGGTGCATATCTTCCATGTCCACGAATATTGCCACATTGATACTGCGATTATAACGGTGCGTATCTTCCAGGTCCACGAATATTGCCACATTGATACTGCGATTATAACGGTGCGTATCTTCCAGGTCCACACAAATTGATGCCACATAACGATACTGCGATTATAACGGTGCCTATATTCCACGTCCACGAAATGTTGCCACATTGATACTGCTGTTATAACAGTGCCTATCTTCCACGTCCACAAATATTGCCACATTGATACTGCGATTATAACAGTGCCTATCTTCCATCAGTCCACAAATGTTGCCACATTGATACTGCTATTATAACAGTGCCACAAATATCTTCCAGGTCCACGAAATGCCACATTGCCTGTTATAACATTGATACTGCGATTATAACGGTGCCTATATTCCACGTCCACAAATATTGCCACTTTGATACTGCAATTATAACGGTGCATATCTTCCACGTCCACAAATGTTGCCACATTGATACTGCTATTATAACAGTTTATTTATTCCACGTCCACAGATGTTGCCAAATTGATACTGCTATTATTACAGTGCCTATATTCCACGTCCACAAATGTTGCCACATTGATACTGCTATTATAACAGTTCTTATATTCCATGTCCACAGATGCAGCCATGCTGACAGTACCATAGTAACAGGACTGGATTTACTTCTGGACTAATGATGAAGGGTCTGCTGACCGTCATGCTACTGGTGTTGGTCATCAGGGAAGCTCTAACCTCCATCCCTTGTCACGTCTCCTACCACAAAGACGGTGCGCACGTGGACTGTAGAAACCGAAGTTTGACCAGAGTTCCAAATAATCTTCCTGGGAACACTTCATATCTCGACCTCAGCTTTAATAATATTACAACCTTGAACAATTATTCTTTCAATGGTTTAGCAAATGTTGAAAAATTACTGCTTGAATCTAGCGGGATTCGTGTCTTAGAAGTCAACAGCTTCAAAGGTCTGTCTTCATTGATGGAGTTGTCTCTCAGTTACAACAATCTACCACCATCAGCCTACCCTATTGGAGTCTTCAGGCGTCTTCTCAAACTCACCAGGCTGAAGTTGCAGGATGACCTCAGAACAACGGAGGTCATCTCATTTCCAGATAAAGCACTTGCAGACTTGGTAAATTTAAAAGAATTGTGGCTAGCCTCTCCGCCTGAACCTGTCTTCGGGCCAGGATTCGCTAAACTCAGACATCTTGAATGTCTTTACTTCAACACAAGAGCGTGTCAACTTACAACCCTCAGGAATGGCACATTTCAGTCCTTCAAGGATACGCCTTTGAGGAAGCTATACATCACTGGTTGTCTTCTTACAACCCTCGAAGCTGGTACCTTTGAGAACCTTCCGCACCTCAGAGTTTTATACATAAAGAAGGCGAGGTCTATTGGCCTAAAGCCAGCCTTAAGATCACTCTATGGCCTTGTTGGGAAGACAATGTCGCTTATCACCTTCTCTGCGGTTGGGCTAGGGATGGGTGAGAATAGTATGTCTAAGTTGAAAAACAACGAAACACTTGTCCTCACGAAAGGTATGATGACATATCTAAACCAAATATGTGTAGAAAAGATAGACCTAAGTCAAAATAGAATCGTCATGGTGGAGGCGGATGCTTTAGATCTCTGTGATACATGTTCATTAAAAAAATGTTTAAAATACTTAGATGCCTCTGGAAACATGATCGTAGGCGAGCTATCTGTGGCTGGAAAATTACTTTTCTTTGGAGAATTAGAAGTCATGGATGTATCATATCCGGCAGTTTCGTACCACGGGGCCCAAAGAAGAAAACTACTGTCAGCACATGCCCATGCACCCACTGACCTCAAGGCCAAACCTTCACTGATGATCCTTCTGCCTCCTTCAATCCGTTCTCTAAATGTATCTGGTACGTACCTATACGGTCGTCTGAGCGCACATTTCAGTTCAATGCACATTATATCTCACAACCCAAACTTTACTGAACTAGTGGCTGAAGATTCAGACATCTTGGAAGGAATTCGCCTCTACGGAGCAGCCACGCTAAAGTCTCTGGATCTCTCTGGTGCCGACCTACGGTACATCCCCTCTGACATGTTTCACAGTCTGCTGAATCTCGAAGTCCTAAAATTAAAAGACACCAAGTTGGATCTGACCAGATCAGACTATCAAACCCTTTTCGAACCTTTGACACAGCTGACATATTTGGATTTATCCGGAAATATGAAACCTTATATTAATGAAAATATTTTCACTAATCTGAGCAGTGTAACACATCTGAGACTCTCCAACAACGGACTAACTGATATCCCGTCTTCTGTCAAATGTTTAACACGTCTACAACATCTTGACCTATCAGACAACTTGATCAGTCAATTTCAACCCAGCACGCGACAGAGTTTAGACGACATACAGCAGTTATCTCCCCGTTTACGTGTGTCTTTGCGAGGAAATACCTTAGCCTGTGGTTGCAATAGTGTTGCCTTCATTGAATGGTTGATGATGACGGACGTTGTGTTCGATGACGTGCAGATGTATAGATGTATAGATGAAGCGGGCACACTGGGCCCATTGATGCTGGACTGGACTCACTTACAACACCCTCTGGCGTGAGTGTTACAGCAGAATATGGCTCCCGACTGTTGTTTCTGCATTCCTAGCCCTGTGGATTGTTATCCTGATCGCAATGCTTGCGAACAGCTATGGTATGGTATGGAAGCTCTTCGTCCTGAGGATGTTTGGTCTGCCGTTTGATAAGCCTGACAGGACGCATTTCCAGTTTGATATATTCCTATACTACGCCTCGACAGAGGATCAAGACCTACTGTCATGGATATTCACCACTTTCAGACAGGAAATGGAGGACATGCGAAGTCTACGCATGTGCATCCCTGATCGAAATTTTGATGTTGGTGTGTCGACGGCAGATGAGATTGTTACAGGCATCAACAACAGTTGGAAAACAGTGATATTTGTCACTGAAAAGTTCCTTGAAGATGAATGGTGTTTCTTTACTCTGTCGTCTGCCCTTTACTCCACCACAACGCTGATGCCGAAACGAGTCCTTCTTCTGTACACCCAGGACGTATTGGACAAGGGGACTTCCCTGCCGCCGGTGTTGGATCAGCTTCTTGACCAGGGCACCGCCATGGAACTGGACACAGACAGTGATGACGACTGGTGGGCAGAGCTTCAGGAGAAGGTGCTGGCGTGGATGTGAACATTAAACCTGGCTGATGTGAAGATGAACACTGGAGGGGGCCCATCTAAGAAAGATCTCCGACTACATTGGCCGTCTCCTGGAAGAACAAGTCGGCATTGAAACCCATTTCAGCAGCTCTACACTTCTTAAAACTCAATTTCTGGTGTCCCCCGCCGTGATGTTGCTGGAATATTGCTAAAAGCGGCGTAAAACCAAACTCAGTCAGTCAGTCTTAAAACTCTATGGTTACCCAATGGTAGGAGGACTATTTACAAAAAACAATAAATGTTTGTCTACAGGTCACTGGCCTATGTAGGTGAACCTTCCCGAAACTTTAGAATGAAAGAACACGTACCATCTACCACCATATGAGACCGGAAATCAGCCATCTTGGACCACATCAAAAGACCTCCAGGACATCACCAAATGACTGGCAGAAGGTCTGTTCCAATCCGCCCACCTAAGCACTGAATCACCAGAGATCGGGGACACCTCATCCCATCTGCCAACAATAATTGATTAAAAAATACCCCCAATATATCATCTCGAAACATTAGTTGATCTTATTAGCTTTGTCCTGTTGTATATTTTATCATTTGAATACACACTGCCTTTTTGAATTTTTCACTACTTGAATGCACAATGCCTTCTTGTTTCTCTTGTTAGTTGAATACGCAATCCCTATTCATTTTTATTGTTACTTAAATACACAATGCCTATTTGTCTTTGTTGTTACTTCAATACAAAATGCCCATTTGTTTTTCTTGTTACTTCAATACAAAATGCCTTTTTGGTTTTGTTGTTACTTGAATACACAATGCCTATTTGTTTTTCCTGTTTCTTAAATACAAAATGCCTTTATGTTTTATTCTTGTTAGTTGAAAACACAATGCCTATTTGTTTTTGTTCTTACTAGAATACACAATGCCTATTTGTTTTTCTCGTCACCTGAATACAGAATGCCTATTTGGTTTTCGTGTTACTTGAATACATAATGCATATGTTTTTCTTGTAACTTGAATAAAGAATGCCTATTTGCTTTTCGTGTTACTTGAATCAACAATCCCATTTTGTATTTATTATTCCTTGAATACACAATGCCTATTTGTTTTTCGTGTTACTTAAATACAAAATGTCTTTTTGTTTTTGTTGTTACTTGAATACACAATGCCTTTTTGTTTTTGTTGTTACTTGAATACAAAATGCGTATTTGATTTTGTTGTCACTTGAATACAAAATGCCTTTTTGTTTTTATTGTTACTTGAATACACAATACATATTTGGTTTTGTTGTTACTTGAAAACAAAATGCCTATTTGATTTTGTTGTCACTTGAATACAAAATGCCTATTTGGTTTTGTTGTCACTTGAATACAAAATGCCTTTTTGTTTTTGTTGTTACTTGAATACACAATGCCTATTTGGTTTTGTTGTTACTTGAATACAAAATGCCTATTTGGTTTTGTTGTTACTTGAATACACAATGCGTATTTGGTTTTGTTGTTACTTAAATACAAAATGCCAATTTGGTTTTGTTGTCATTTAAATACAAAATGCCTATTCGGTTTTGTTGTTATTTGAATACACAATGTGTATTTGGTTCTGTTGTTACTTAAATACAAAATGCCTATTTGGTTTTGATGTCACTTAAATACAAAATGCCTATTTGGTTTTGATGTCACTTAAATACAAAACGCCTATTTGTTTTTGTTGTTACTTGAATACAAAATGCCTATTTGGTTTTGTTGTTACTTGAATACACAATGCCTATTTGGTTTTGTTGTTACTTGAATACACAATGCCTATTTGGTTTTGTTGTTACTTGAATACAAAATGCCTTTTTGCTTTTGTTGTTACTTGAATACACAATGCCTATTTGGTTTTGTTGTCACTTGAATACAAAATGCCTTTTTGGTTTTGTTGTTACTTGAATACACAATGCCTATTTGGTTTTGTTGTTACTTGAATACAAAATGCCTATTTGGTTTTGTTGTTACTTGAATACAAAATGCCTATTTGGTTTTGTTGTTACTTGAATACAAAATGCCTATTTGGTTTTGTTGTTACTTGAATACAAAATGCCTATTTGGTTTTGATGTCACTTAAATACAAAACGCCTATTTGGTTTTGTTGTTACTTGAATACACAATGCCTATTTGTTTTGTTGTTACTTGAATACACAATGCCTATTTGTTTTTGTTGTTACTTGAATTTTGGTTTTGTTGTTACTTGAATACACAATGCCTATTTGGTTTTGTTGTCACCTTGAATACAAAATGCCTTTGTTTCTTTTGTTGTTACTTGAATACACAATGCCTATTTGGTTTTTACTTGTTACTTGAATACAAAAACAAAGCCTTTTGTTTTTGTTGTTACTTGAATACACAATACAATGCCTATTTGGTTTTGTTGTCACTTGAATACACAATGCCTTTTTTGTTTTTGTTGTTACTTGAATACACAATGCCTATTTTTTGTTTTTTGTTGTTACTTGAATACACAATGCCTTTTGTTTTTACTTAATACTTGAATACACAATGCCTTTTGGTTTTGTTGTCACTTGAATACAAAATGCCTTTTGTTTTCGTTGTTACTTGAATACACAATCCCATTTTGTGTTTTACTGTATTTACTTGAATACACAATGCCTATTTTTTGTCATCACTTTTGAATACTAAATGAATGCCTATTTGTTTTGTTGTTACTTGTGAGTTGTTTTCTCTTGTTACTTAAACTCTGAATAATAACCATTAGTTTTATTCCTTGAATACTTTTTCATCATACAATAAAATGCCTTTTTGTTTTTGTTTGTTAAATCTAAAATTGACTATACACAATACAATGCCTTTGTTTTGTTACTTTTGTTTTTCTTGTTACTTGAATACAGAATGCCTATTTGGTTTTCTTGTTACTTGAATACACAAAGCATATTTGTTTTTCTTGTAACTTGAATACAGAATGCCTATTTGTTTTTCGCGTTACTTGAATACACAATCCCATTTTGTATTTATTATTCCTTGAATACACAATGCCCTTTTTTCTCATCACTTGAATACTAAATGCGTTTTTGTTTTTTGTTGTTTATTGAGTACTTGTTACTTAAATCCAAAATAACTATTAGTTTTTCTCGTCACTTGAATACAAAATGCCTTTTTGTTTTTGTTGTTACTTGAATACACAATACATATTTGTTTTTCTTGTTACTTGAATACAGAATGCCTATTTGGTTTTCTTGTTACTTGAATACACAATGCATATTTGTTTTTCTTGTAACTTGAATACAGAATGCCTATTTGTTTTTTGCGTTACTTGAATACACAATCCCATTTTGTATTTATTATTCCTTGAATACACAATGCCTTTTTTTCTCATCACTTGAATACTAAATGCGTTTTTGTTTTTTGTTGTTTATTGAGTACTTGTTACTTAAATCTAAAATAACTATTAGTTTTTCTCGCCACTTGAATACAAAATGCCTTTTTGTTTTTGTGGTTACTTGAATACACAATACATATTTGTTTTTCTTGTTACTTGAATACAGAATGCCTATTTGGTTTTCTTGTTACTTGAATACAACAGCTACGTGCATTCATCAATCGTCACAGTACAACAGTTACTTGCATTCATCAGTCGTCACAGTACAACAGTTGCACACATTCATCAATTGTCACAGTACAACAGCTACGTACATTCATCAATTGTCACAGTACAACAGTTACGTACATTTATCAATTGTCACAGTAAAACAGTTACATACATTCATCAATTGTCACAGTACAACAGTTACTTGCATTCATCAGTCGTCCCAATACAACAGTTACATCCATTCATCAATCGTCACAGTACAACAGTTACGTACATTCATCAATCGTCACAGTACAACAGTTACGTACATTCATCATTCGTCACAATACAACAGTTACGTACATTCATCATTCGTCACAATACAACAGTAACGTACATTCATCAATCGTCACAATACAACAGTAACGTACATTCATCAATCGTCACAGTACAACAGTTACGTACATTCATCAATCGTCACAATACAACAGTTACGTACATTCATCAATCGTCATCATTCGTCACAATACAACAGTTACGTACATTCATCATTCGTCACAATACAACAGTTACGTACATTCATCAAACGTCACAATACAACAGTTACGTGCATTCATCAATCGTCACAGTACAACATCTACGTGCATTCATCAATCGTCACAGTACAACAGCTACGTACATTCATCAAACGTCCCAGTACAACAGCTACGTGCATTCATCAAACGTCCCAGTACAACAGTTACATCCATTCATCAATCGTCCCAGTACAACAGTTACGTGCATTCATCAAACGTCGCAGTACAACAGTTACGTACATTCATCAATCGTCACAGTATAACAGCTACGTGCATTCATCAATCGTCCCAGTAAAACAGTTACGTACATTCATCAATCGTCCCAGTATAACAGCTACGTGCATTCATCAATCGTCACAGTACAACAGCTACGTCCCAGCATTCATCAATCGTCACAGTATAACAGCTACGTGCATTCATCAATCGTCACAGTATAACAGCTACGTGCATTCATCAATCGTCCCAGTAAAACAGTTACGTACATTCATCAATCGTCACAGTATAACAGCTACGTGCATTCATCAATCGTCACAGTACAACAGCTACGTGCATTCATCAATCGTCCCAGTAAAACAGTTACGTACATTCATCAATCGTCACAGTATAACAGCTACGTGCATTCATCAATCGTCACAGTACAACAGCTACGTGCATTCATCAATCGTCACAGTACAACAGCTACGTGCATTCATCAATCGTCACAGTACAACAGTTACGTGCATTCGCCAATCGTCACAGTATAAAAGCTACGTGCATTCATCAATCGTCACAGTATAAAAGCTACGTGCATTCATCAATCGTCACAGTATAAAAGCTACGTGCATTCATCAATCGTCACAGTATAAAAGCTACGTGTATTCATCAATCGTCACAATACAACAGTTACGTGCATTCATCAATCGTCACAATACAACAGTTACGTGCATTCATCAATCGTCACAATACAGGGTCCCTTCGTGGGGATTCCGATCCCCTAGCTACAACCTATATGCTGACTTACAGCCTATGCTGGCATCGTAACCCGATGGTGTGGAACGTTATTAACAATATCAATCACGGGTTTGTCTGGTCCAGGCCCGGATTCTTTACAGACCGCCGTCGTTAACCAAAAAAATCACAATCCTGACGCTCGGTGTTCCATATGGAAAGCAGTGTTCAATGTAATGGAACACAGTTTAGTAGTTCCTCGCTACCCTTGATTGACAGGTGTACACCCAATCTATTACATCATACGATGAGATACGAAAATTTCGATGGCTCCTCGCAGACTCCCATATCAGTTGAACGACCGCACACAGCCTTGGCCTTTTCAAACCCACAACGTCAACAATAGAAACACAAGGGTAAATATTCTTCATCAGTTTATTCCATGAACATATCCAGCAGTAAAACGTACATACGTTCAATAGCAAAAAAGCCTCTACACGCAGCTATATACACAATGTACACATAGTAATATATACATATATACACACCTACACTGTAAACAGTGAGCGTTGGAAATAGCAGTGACAAACTCTCTGTTGAATCATAAGCTATATTCACTGTACAATTCCGGCGGTATCACAATATACCTGACACTGGTTTTGTTATACAATGATACAGGAATTCAAAATTAAACAAATACTGTAAATAAACTCTACAGAAATAGAACTGACTGTTTTATACACATGCTCGAAAGGTTGATATACTAAATCTGAAGAAACGTATTGACAACTGGTACATTTTAACAGGTGTGTTGTTTTTCACAGATATATGTGCCAATTAACTGAGATATTTGACCAGATCGTTTGATGCTGCTGGTTAACACTTGTGTCAACAAGAAATTAACCTGTAAATACCCCGCCCCCCCTAAATTAACCTGTAAATACCCCGCCCCCTTAAAAAAAATTGATATACATTGTACACCTCTTAATTAGGAATGTCAACTGGATACATGGGTACAGAGAACTTGAGTAAAGAACACTTCAATTCAAATGTTGAGTACTTTATGAATTTTAATTCTGACAAATTATTTTTTACCAAGAATGGAGCTCAAAATTAATACCAATCATGATACCTAAATCGTGTTCAGGTTTTGAAGTCTGTGTTTCTGTAAAACACAAACAGAGCATGACGACTTCCGGTTTTTCGTAGTTATCACATGTTGGTGGTTAATTCTTTGAGTCGTTTTCATTCTTTCATTTATGATCAGTTCTTCGATTGGTACACATTAAGAGTTTTTCGCCTGGGATTCCGGGACTTTGAAAACATGTGTGAGGAAACATGAAACGTTGACTTTCATAGATATCAATATTATGTTTTAGCATTCAGTTACATTGGTGTAATTATGGTGTAAATGCTCACTCAGCTGTGTTTGGTAGAATCCCTAAATAGGATAAATAGTTCGAAAGGCAGTGATTGAAAATAACACGAACCGCTTAAGACTGATAAAATATATAACAAATAGCACAATGAATAATCAAAATCAAAATATAAGTATTGATTTTATTACAAAATGGGTTTTCTCAATACAAAAAACCCCCAAATATTGGCAGTAAAGAGTTTGCCAACTGGAACACATAGCGGTATAATGGCCACCCTGCCCAAAACCGATAGGGTGGAACCAAATAGAAGAACTTAGAGAGTGATCTGTCAAAACGGGCTTCTTACGGACCGAAATGCGCATACGGATTGAAGAGGATTTGGCATTACATATAGAAATGGGAAATCAACACAATTGTCCGTTACTGACAGAAATTCAGATTAGCCAGTTTCGACAGATTTCACAGCTCTACCCTTCGTATATACTTTGATATTATCTTGGCAAATCTGGCAGTGCTTCACACGTAAAGCAGCGTAAAGGTATCACATCAATACATTAGAGACAAAACCATACCAGTGTACTCGTTGTTGAGAAACAAATTAGGACGTCACAATTTCTCTGTCGTTGCAGGCTTAGATTTCATATAAAATATTTACATCTTTTAAGACACTTATTAATCGTTCTGCTTAGTACAACGGCATGTAAAAATATGGGGCAGATTAAAACAATGATATATCCGATCTCAAGTTTTGGTCATGAATCTGTTTGTCTGAATTTTCGTAGTCAAAACAATGAAAGTAAACAATTTTAGAATTTGAGAACGGTCATGAAGGAAGCGTTATTATCACAAGTCCCAGAGTCAGCAGATCTATAGAGCAATCAGCAAAATGGTCATGTTGTGGAATGCCCTTCTGTTATGGAATATAATACTATTATGCATTAACTCCAAAATGCGTATCTTATACCCGTGATCCAGACACAAAGATGTGTGTATCATAAATAGTCTGGCGTATAATAACTATAAAAATAATAGCTTGGGTACATTCTGCACGTGGCACAACCAGTACGGCGTACGAAAGCACTTGGCTATGGAATGCTTCTGGTTTTTGTCATTTAAATGAATGTTTACGTATGTTCTTAAATAGGCCACATAAACAAACACCTGTACACCGGGCAGCTCGCGATCTGTGCAAACACAACCTTTTGAGAATCTTGTTTCAGGTAGTACAGTTGTGAAAAGACATTTCCAAATTATGTTCTTGCTGAATTTGAATGCTATTATTTTCAATCCAAAGGAAATGTGTTCTCAGTGGTACATAAAAGTATTTTAATACCCGTTCATTGATCGTAGTTGGCCCGGATAATGTGGCACACTATAAATTCATCAAAATATAACAGATCATTCTAACAAAAACATGTTCAGTGGAGATTATCTTCTTGTACTCTTCGTCATCCCTCCTTGACATCGCCCACGTTTCTATGGTTACTATGGTGTCGGTTGGTGTCCAGGAATATAGGGAGTCTCTTCATGGATATACAAGTCATATCCTCGTCGCACGTGACACACAACACAAAGATATGTCATTAGGTGTACCGTCTATGCGCGTGACGTCACAAGACAGTGTAATGCCTAGATTGTAAAATCTGATACTATCACATACTGTCCAACGTGTGTCCGATACTATCACAGCTCGTGAGAATCTATCACAGTCACGATCAGAGGCTACCTCAGAACGTCTTCGGGAGTCTGAACCTAACGCAGACTGTCTGAAGACTGAATCTAATATACCTGGATGCTCTGGAACTTTCTAGGCCGATCCAAGGATACCCCCTAGCACCACTATTTGCGCAGCTTAAACCGTGCATCCCGCTATCTTCATTCATCGTTTCCCTGTTGCCATGCGAACAGTTTCAGGCATATTCTGCTATTTTCCACTTCCAGTATAGCTCCTTTTAATCTTCCCGCCGTTTCTGACATTGCATTGATTGTCGTCTGCTTCTTTTCGGTTCCATCCTCAAACATTGGCTATGCTGGGACTGAGTGACACCCGGCTGTTGACGACGGAAGACGCCGGAGAGAGTCTTGTGTCGGCCGTCATAGTGGAGGCGTTGCTACCGAAAAGGAAGGTGGGGCGTGCTTTTTGGATATCGTCAACCTTGACCTCTGACGGGGCGTACCGGCTGTGTTTCTGACGGTCCTCCAGCTTGCAGGGGCCCCACTGGGGAAGAGGCGCCATGTTGTAGACCAGCAGCTGGAAAAAGAGGCGCAAGGTAACAAAACGAAGGTGGAAGGTCACAAAGGAACTATGCTTTCACTAATTCCATATTTCAATTTCATGACATTTCTGGTTTCTATTTCTACACATATAATCAGTACATGTGCTTCTCATCATGTTATAGGCCATGAGTACACCTGTCCACAGACAAACAGAAATTCTGGAATTGTCTCTCACTCACCCCAAGAGGTTAACATCATTTTCACACTATACATATTCTTCCTATATACATAGGATGTTCAACTGCCTCCAAAATACCAGTAAATTCACAGGAAATGATGTTCGGATTTGCTTGTTAACACTTGGAACTGAGTTGTGAAGTAAAACAACCAGGTCAGCTGCTGGTCAAGGCCCTCGTGGACAGAGACAAGCCAGAGAAAGAGAAAGAACTCACCGAGAAGCCTCCCTCAGCGCAGTACTTGTACATGAAGTAGAGGGGAACGACGAGGATGGGGAACATCACGATCAGCCAGCCGACTGACAACATGGCCGCGGGGTACGAGGAGGTCTCATAGCTGGGGCTCGTGTACAGCGCCATGTTGAAGATGATGGTGGCACCGATCACAATCGGAGAGACAAACTTCCAGCAGATCTTCCAGTACAGGTTTGGCTTCATCCCTAGCATCATCTCGATGTCCTCAGAGAATCGCTCGAATTCTGTGAACAATGAGTACATTAGTATGAGTCTGCAGACATCAAATGGTGTTACTGTTAAACTGTTTTGGTTGAATGACTGAGGGGTCCAGTTTGACGCTGTTCGACTAGCGTGTAATGTGGAGGGGAAGCCTCAGATTGATGACCACTTTGGTGAAACACACATGCTGGGATATTGTACAGAAAGCCAGAGATTCGCGACGAATCTGAGATTCGAACCCAGGAACTGCGGTTCCCCACATTTACTGACCTTTTGTTGATACATATATCGTCTACGTTCGTTTTAATTAACACGATATTAGTAACGACATGGCTGAAATACTGCCGATGTGAATTTAAATAATAACTCACTCACTCACTATTCATTTGTGTAGGTAATATATCGTGCCGTTGCCAATTGCACCTAATATCATTATGAAACAGGACCTGTTGCTATGTATTAACGCCACAAGGAACAATGTCTTGCAAGATGGTGATGATCTGCGAACAATCGGCCCAGTGACTGATATTCTGAGCAACAAATCATACCGTCAGGAAAGGGACCGAATCACTGATTCGTCAGGTACCCCATGCCGACAAACATAGATTGCAGGACACATAATCTAAAGAGAACCCCAAGAGGGAATAACTGTTTGAAAGATTAGCACTTGAGGATTGCATGTCCACTTACTGTAGATCCAGTTGAGGGCGACGATCTCGATGAGGCCAACGACGAGCAGAGGGAAGCCACCCACGCTGTAGTCGACCAAATTCAACAGGTAAATACCACCCTGAAAGAAATAACGCTCCGTCAATACTACTATTTTAATCTTACTGTATAACCTTTCTAAAAATAGAAATCAATTCAGTTGTTTGTACTCGACTACAGCATTCATATAACTCCGTCATATGCAAGAATTCTGCAACAGTCAATCTGAACGAGGTGGGTTAAATACCACAATAGGTGTTGATATCGATTGTTCATTGTATATTCCTCTGGAGCTATGAATACAATATAGTTGGCTGGGTAATAATTGTACAGGGCTGTTTACAACCCCTAGGGCATTCATACGGCTCAATTATCGTCATCGTTCTCATTATTATTATTATAATTATTATTAGTGTCAACTGTGTACCTTGCACACCATGGGCAGACCGAGGAGAAAGCTGACAACGACGATGGCGATTCTGAACATCGTTGACGCCAGTTTGCCGGGCAGGGAGGAGCGGAACTCGTCGATGAAGGCACTCATCACGCACTCCACCATGGAGAACTGAAAACACACACGTCCAATGTGAAACTATTTGGTTTGGTTAACAAATAAACAGGAAAACATAACACAAAACTAGAATAGTCAAAATCATCATCGTTATTTGATGGAATGTAATTATTGTGTATAACAATTTCATCAATATTACAAATCTTTTCTCAATATCATCGCTGCTGGGGTTATTGTGATGATCATAATTAATTTCAACAGAAGCATCATTTTGATTATTAACTTTTGTTGATAATTAAAAAAACACAATTCTAATAAAATTGCTAAGTATATAATAATTATCTTTAAGATACTGATCAATAATATCAGATGTATCACCTGAGATCCGAATCCGAGAGTCGCCATCATAAGGAAAAAGAAGACAGCCCACAGAGGTGAGACGGGCATCCGGGAAATAGCCTCTGGGTAAACAACGAACGCCAGTCCAGGACCTGGAAGATAGGCAAACCCGTTATTTCACTCTTGTTTAATCCCTTCTTGTACACACAAAGAAAAATATATATTGTTTTTCCATTAAGTCGTAAGTTTACTAGTAACTTTGGACACATATCAGAAGCATAGTAACTAGTGTGAGGAATTGGTTAAAATCTCATAATTGATGATTGGTTCATTACAACCGATCAATCATCGAAAATAATTGGTTAGCGCCATTTATGAAATTTGTTAATGCACATAAAAATAAGGAAAAAACCATGTAGTTCTTTTGGGGCTTTTTGGCAAAATTTCACATCTTTAAAGGATGACTAGTATGTTAGGAACATAAATTTCTTGGAGCCTTTAAGATAAATTCAATCATGACTTGAAACGAGCTTGTAGTGCTTACGAAATGTAACAGACAAAACCAACCTTGTAAAAAATATTGTTAATGAAAACAAGTGTTCCAAACTTGGTTGTGTTCGATTATGAGAAATTATGATCGATTGCTTGGTCGTTTAGTCACTACGAACAATCTTCGATTATTTCAATTAATCCGACCACCACTATTAGTAACACATTAGCAGTTATCTAGTGACTCAAGAGATTCTGTTTCACAGGGGGCGCTAATTACCAGGTCTAGACCAGTCAGGAAGGACACCAGACCTTGGATCATAGCCCCTCTTAAAGTGGACAGTATCTACACTCACCTCCATCAGCAACATCGGCAACGGAGACACCCTTCTCTTTAGCCATGAAGCCAAGGATGGAGAAGATGACTAATCCAGCGAAGATGCTGGTGGCGCAGTTGATGAGGGCGACGATGACGGAGTCCTTGTAGCAGTTGTTCTTGAACTTGTTAAAGCTGGACATGGTAATCAGCCCACCTGTACAGGTACTGAGGGAGTAGAAGATCTGCGTGGCGGCGTCGCTCCACACCTACAGCATATACAAACACATCAGAACAACGTCACCATTAATAGTAAGGCGCTATATAATTAGCCTATTGGCGCTACACAGTTTCACAACCCGCCCAACAGGATCAACTCCCTATGCATCTTCCCAAGGTGCTTAACCCTCACTAACATACTGACAGCCAGAAATAAGGGAACGACTATTAAAGGGGCCATGGCAGTGATTTTGCTGCGTTATCCGGAGATTTGTCGTCAGTGTAGTAACCTAGTTTCCGGAACAATACCCAATATTCTGCATTGTATCTCTCCGTTCCCTTAATTAATTCCATCAATGGTAAATCCTACTCATTCACTAACTCGAGAAGACGCGGACTTACCCGAGGGTCGCCGAGCCTGGAGAAGTCGGGCTTCAGATAGTAGATAATGCCATCGAGAGCGCCATCAAGCGTCACACCCCGGATGAGAAGAACGGTAAGCATGATGTATGGGAAGACCGCTGTGAAATACACCACCTGAAACATATGCAAGAACGGTAACCATATTGTAATTGACGGAAGCGGCTGTAAAAGCAATACATTACATTCAAAGGGAGACAACTCCTGACGCACTATCGTGTTTGGTAACAAAATTGAACTGTCCCCATGATGTTGCCAGGTAAGATTTTAGACGTACTTTGTGTTCTAGTCCTATTGTTAGACATCCATTACCCATCTCCTACAGCTTTTGAAGAATGACTTCACAATAAACTTCATGACGTCACTTTGAGTGACATACAATTAGTCTCTCCACTGGACAACCTTGGATGTGGGACCACCTTAATTATTTCATAAATAATTTCGCTGTTCACTTTAAGAGTTGTACTATGTTTAGTTATCACCCCCTGACTGGCAAATACATGCCACTGTTAGAAATGGTACTCTCTACTTCATTGTTTTCCAGTGAACAATATAGGACATAGTTATAGGAAATAACAATAAATAAATACATTTTGCCAACCCACTCTACTTTTGTATTTCTTGTGAACGTGATCAGAAACATGAGTATTTTATTGGGACAATTATGAAACACAAGATGTGACGTTTGCTTCAGAAACTCACTGTTATGTGAAGTATTTACAATAGATTCAACTCCAACCAATTTCAGAATCTGGTCATTACAGACAACCGAAAGAAATAGCAAATGCAGTTGTAAGAATTACCTTTCCGAGAGACTGGATGCCCCGAATCAAACACGCCCCAACTATGAGCCAGGCGCCGAGGAGGGAAAGCGCCAGTTTCCAGTTGACCGACCCAAGTTCCCCAATGTTGTCATTCTGTTCAAGAACGAAGTATCTGAAACAAACAAGTCAGAGCGTAAGTCGGACGCTCGAAGTGGATGTGGACGTTCCATTCGACTTGACGCAATATCCAAACAAATATCACTGCGGGAAACAACACGAAAAATCTCAACACATTGCACTCATGAAGGGAAGCGAACCTGAATCGTCGGCTGGACGACATGAGGTACCCAGTCACTCAAGCAAATAATTAAAATCTATTAAAACATATATCAGCGTTAGACTTTCAGAACTTCTGGGTTGCTGTTCTAACAAAGCTACCCCAGCGCTGAGCTAATCGTTCTCCCATATGTATCAAAATTTACCTTGTAACATTACTTTTATGCTTAATGTTTAACGGCCAGATTAAACCTTTGGTTACTTTTAGACGCAAGCCGATCTAACACCATGTTGAAATGTATTCGCTGCTTAATAATAACTCACTTATAATATTCCTCCGCTGGGGTGTTGAACGTCACGTTGCTTGGGTGCGATGGGGGCACAACGGCTGTAATGAAAGGGGAGATAACCCTATTACATCAGTTAACACCATACAAAGACGTACTTTTTCGACACTGCGAACTGCAATCTTTACAATAAAGCAAAACCTGAATACTTACCATTGTCTGAGAAGTTATGGGGGAGACAGCTGTTGGTGTTCCATGCATTTCCACACGTTGTCCATGGCAACACAGGTGTCATGGAGGCGCCGAGGTAAAACAGCGTATGCGCAATTATGACGTTGTAATATAAGCTGATCAGCCATGATACAATCACCATGCCGTACCCAAGACCTGAAATATACAAATCAATATTCTGTAAGTAAATCTAATGATACCTGCGTTATCTCACTGTGTCCCCGAGACATACATTAGCGCTGCAGACATAGAGGTAGAAGATTACATCGGTTGCCATGGCAACAGTGCATCTTAATCACGATTTCGCTACTGTGTGAAATATGAGCCAACGGATGCGTGAGTTCAGTCGACAACATAAGCTCTTGTATTTCAAACACGATCCTTTTACATATTGTTCTGACATAATCTTGAGTATTCTCGTTTGCATGGAATAAATATTTTATTTGTTTTCCTCGTGATAACGGGAAGAATTGTTATCAAAATATCCCTATCAGACCAATGTGAATGGGTCGACTATTCAGTATTCTGGCTTGGGAAGAAGGAATTTGTTTCGCCATTTTTTATCTGTGACATGAAGTAATAAAGCATCGACTTTGCCGATCAACAATTAAGCGATGAGACGTGAAGAACGGAACACACTTCTCTTCCACAGCACACATTTGTGGAAACGTAAGTGAGACAAGTTATTACTTTTGTGTAAAATTTGAGGCAAACTTATTTCCCCAGTTTTTGAGTAGCTGTTCTTTATTGAAAAAATAATTACCTTTCAACAGCGGGTTGATTTTCCAGATAGATATAGGTCCGAGACTTGCAAACTGGCCGAACGCCAGCTCCATGTAAAACAGAGGCAGACCCACGGCCGCCAGCATGATGACGTAAGGGATGAGGAAGGCTCCTGCGAAGGGAACGGAGGATTAGTCTCAAGTATGTGTTTGTTTGTAGTTAACCGCCGCCTGAGCAATATTACAGCTATATGAAGGGGGCATATTGAGTCTGGGACGGCCAGTCAGGTGATGGATATATTGCACTATAATCCCCGCCTTCGGGATCCAATAACACGCTAACGACTCAGTCACTTTGTCGCTACTTACACCCCAAACATAAGGGTTAATATCGAGTGTTAGTGGGGCGGTGGGGTAGCCTAGTGGTTAAAGCGCCCGCTCGTCACGCCGAAGACCCGGGTTCGACCCGCTCGACAAATGTTGATATATTGTCAACTAAATAATGAAATAAATAAATAATTGAATAAACAAATTGTCCATTCTTGATCAGGAAGCCGTAGCTATAGCAACAAATTAACCCCAGATGTGACCTTGGCCCAATACGTCATCGTTAAGTAGGTCATGTCCGGCAAATATAACGTATAGCTACCGCCAAGCTGGATCAGAACGCGGATGTCAAACTCATGTCCAATGAGCTACATCTGTTTCCTAACACGGATTTACGTACATACATATTCAATTAAACAACAATAGTCGCCTGAGGCGATGCGCGCCATCAATGCAATGTCCTACCCTCTGCTACATATTTCCTATTATCACCGGTCATGCAATAACAACATGGACTGGAAGTGGGTCAGTGAAGCAGTAAATACGCAGTTTGGAAACAATCCTGACATTGATACCGAATGGACAACAGGATAGCTTCAATCGTTGTTGAAACCTGTTCTCTGGTCATTTTTGCCGTAAACATATCCACGAGTGATTGTTTTTAACTGAGCCAACATTGCTCTGCTTGTAACATGCGACTAACGGATCAGGTTGTGTTTCTGGCTCGCTGACTTGGTTGATATATCTCATCGTATCCCATGCTCATGCTGTTGATCACTGGATTGTCTGGCCCAGACTCGATTATTTACAGACCACCGCTGGGTCTATAGCTGGGACACTGCTGAGTGCGATGTTAAACAGCAAACAAACGAAACACAAACCGTCAGTTATATATATCCTGATTACCGGGATGTGAATAAGATGTGCCCAGATACTAAGATATTAAGTGTTTTGGTATGGTGCGAAAATACTCACTAACAAAAAGGGGTAATGTGGTAAATATAAATGTATTTTTGCTATCTGTATGCTACTTACCTCCACCATTCTTGTAGCAGAGATAGGGGAACCGCCAGACATTGCCTAGCCCCACAGCATAGCCAATACAGGTGAAGATGAACTCCAGCTTGCCGCCCCACGCACCTCGCTCCGCCTCCCCGCTCTTGACGTCCGTGCTGCTGTCGACAGTTTCCGCCGTCGTAATACTGTCCAAGTCATCCTTTTTTTCTTCCTTAAATTAATTAACGGAACGTTAGAGTTGTGTTTAAACGCCGTAAATTATACGATGTAATATACCCATTTTTTATTCAAGTCAGATATAATACATATCTGATAAACCCTCCATAATGGATTTCACGTCATATTTCACGTCTTAATCGAATAGCGTCGAGGCTTCTAAATTCTGGAAACAAGTGTATACGGACAGTACACACTAGGATATAATACATCAGAACAGTTCAGCAATGTATTCATCATGATCATGTAATCACTGGTTGGGCCGCTACCTTGAATGGCTTTCTTCAAACTTACATAACACGTGTAACATTGCTTTCTTTAGATCCGGACTTAAAGCGGTATGTAGATCCTTGATGAGTAAAACATATCCGTCTAAGTGACCTGCCCCTAACCTGTATAACCCACCATTCACATACAAGATCCTGCCCCACGACAACTGAGTAGAACCAATCTTGTGACTGGCCTTGTCATGCTGTGCTGCCATTGATTGGCACCGAACAACCAATCTTCAGCCCTTCCAAACAAGCCTATGCTTAATAAATATTGTGTTGTTTCCTTGTGATTTCAACTCCAAGGTATAAAACTTTGAAGTCTATAGTGACAGTCTATATAAATCCATACCGAGCAATACCAACATAAATATACAGTCATATAACTATGCAAATAAATAGCCCGTTTTCAGATAATTACAAGACGATAATAACAAATAAAATATGAATTCCATGTAAAAAAACCCCAAAAACAAAACAAAAACCAAAACACACACACTCAAGAATATGTCAAAGTAATGACCAATAAATCTAACATTTTCAAAGAGGTCCCATTTATGTTCAAGGAGGGGGTATTCTAACGTATGTAGGTATGTCGTATACATCAGCATTGGCAGTTCTCCGGAGTCATACGGTTGTATGAAAAGTTACAATTTAAATATGGAATCCACTGATTAAGTTCTCCGATGTGGAAATAAACATCTTTTCCATATATGGATTTCATTAATAAGTTCATGACCATCCATCTGGCTTCAGGCGTAATAAGACAAGCCCCAGACTACAAAACAATCGCCTCTGTGACGTCACTTCCCTGTTTTAACATCGATTCTTCCTTGGATTGATGTTTCTATATTCAGCAACGTTTATCACCTTTGGCAGCCTTGACTTAACGGAGAGATGTCTGAGAGTTCTCTGTGAATCAACTGACGTCATTGGCGCTATGCCAACGTGTGAGCTCTAGTGATCTGCTCGGAGTAATTGCTGACGAAAATATCTCCGATACGAGAGGGCTGGTGCGTTAACCGGCGATCGCGAGGGGATCGATACACTTGCGTGGGTTTAACACAATTACATCGAAACACAGCTACAGCCCTGAGAACCAATCAACTAAGGGGGATAACTCGACGATGAGTGACGCACCTAAGTAACCAACTGCTAAAGGCATGTACCTGAGATACACGTACATGTACTAGTAAACGCAGTTACTGTGTGATCAATATTGGGTAGCTGGTAATAAAAACAAATGAGTGTTTACGTTCTCATAATAACATTACTGAAATAACTAAATAATACATGAAGATGTATTTCGATGTTCAGAATTAGTAAGATAAATGGTGTATGTCGGTATATATAGTATAGAAGTCAAGCGATGACGACATCAGGGCATTGACGAGGTCAGAGCATCAACGACCCGTAACAAGGAGCGCCTTGTTATTGGTTGGGTTGAAAAGTCAACACACACATTTGTTTTCCTTTTACACAATAAAGTATAACAAATGGACCATGTATTCACCAACCCTGAATGTACTTGGAGATAAATCTTCCTTGGTAGTCCTTTCACACGTTCGGAACTTGAAGCACCAGCACAGAAACAATTAAATTAAAAGTTGCCCCGATTTTATCTGTAATGAGGGGGCGATGGGTTAGGCTAATGGTTTAAGCGCCCGCTCGTCAAGCTGAAGACCGGGGTTCGATTCCCCACATAGGTACAATGTGTTAAGCCCAAATCTGGTGGCCCCGCCGTGATATTGCTGGAATATTGCTAAAAGCGGCATAAAACCATACTCACTCACTTACTGTAATGAGGGGACCGTGCAAGTCTTTCAGAAATGATTTAGCAAGTCACAGAGGATATAATAATGAGTCAGTGACTTGTTTTATCTACGCCCTTCAGGAAACTCTTTTAGGGACAGTCACCAGTTATATTTTCGTACCAGTATAGATACCAGGTCATTTCCGGTTTCAGCAAATCCTCCTCACAGACACGTGTGTTTCACAGCACAAAACAATGTGTACGGGTAAATAATCATTAACCACCTGATTGTTGTTTACAAATACTTGAAACATATTGCACTGCCAAATCAAACGCACTTAGCACAATTAGCATATATGTGGTGGCTTTGAACTGATGTAACTATTACCACGGTAACAAGAGACCCTGTTCTGAAATTTGCTGCATGATCAAGGAGGAAGGTTTAATTGTGACACTTCCTTGACACATCAGCCCCAGCTATAAATTCATGTGGGATTTTACCAGGAAAGTTATCATATGAAAGACAAACATGGAAAACCAAACACACCAGGCAGATAAACATGCCTATTTGAAATGATCTTAAGTATTTAAATATTTGCAACCTGCTGTAAAACTATTAAAGCTATGAACAGATAATCTCAATCGACATTCTAGAATGGAAAGTGCTCCCAATAAGATCTTTCACAAAACAATGTTACAGTTCCTTTGCTTCATGTAACAACAAGGTTTTTATAGCTACACTGTCAGCACGGTTTGAATTATAAAATGATTAGCACTGTAAAACCGGCATTATAGTCCGGACTAGTACGAGCGCAACCGCAAGCACATACCCACCCCTGAGTCCACCCTACACACGCTTGCTATGTACTTTATCTCACATGTATGAGAGATGCCTACTTATCAACTACATAAATACGATTGTTTATGTGCACGTACTGAATTTAGTGGCATGCACAGATTCACGTGTATTGGTTTGATAATGTATATGTGTGGCTTGGGGAATTAATTCCTAGACGGGCATAGATGACCAGAGGCGCAGTGATAGAAACCTTCGATAGATACAGTCTCATCCTGTCCAGCTAAACACCTTAATAAGAAATCAATATTTCGGTGTAGAAACCGATCGGCGACGTTTTTGAGGAATTGGTTTCTACGGCAACAACATACGTCACAATCTTCCTTCAAGATTACGCGTCCCTGGAAGCTTCCTAGCGCTATCGATTTTTGTCTCCAAGACATACAAAATAATCAGGATTGAAGAAAAATCAATCACCATTCCTTGGCAACTTTCCAAGTCCGGTCAAATCCAGACTGAACTAAATGTCGTCTGCTTCCCCCTCACTTCCAGACATCAGTAGGTGTGGTTGCCACGGTGACAAATCATGTTAAGTGTTTTCGAATACGCAAAATCAATATTTAAATAATTTATGTCATTCTAACGAAATCGCAACCATATTGTCTTTAAAATTCAATTTTTGAATATGTTTACATTAATAATGTTCTTTGACGAGGTAAGCTGGTGAATTGCTTAAATAAATATGAAAGCAGAAAATCTTGTCAAATAATTGTGAAATAAAAGCAGAACTACAGCGATATCATCATTTGAAATTGTTATGAACAGAAAAATGTAACTTCCTTACCTTCTGAACCGTATGAAACACATATTTTATCGTTTGTCCCTTCTCGTTTCCACCGAGCATCGGTTCACATACTTCTTCTATATTGACAACCTGGAGCAGTTCTTTAGACATTTCGAGTGATACTACTTCAAAAATACAGAAGACGAAGCCTTATAGTGAATGTTCAGCTACTCGTGTGCGCCAAACCCGCGTGGCTGTTGACTTTTACGATATAAACACATGACGGTGCGTGGGCTTTATATAGACGGCGTGACGTCATGACCACGTGACTGCATTCACCGCGACCTTCTTTGATGTTTACAAACAATCCCGATTACGACATATTGACTGTACCTTTCCATTCGTTATTGAAATTACTCAATGAACTAAAAATTTGGCCTTCGTTTTTCAAGTATGTGATGAAAATAGGGAAACTGGTTATTTAGGACAGGTTAACATTGAGGGGAAATATACTGGTTGAGATTGACATTAATTTTCACGGTAGGTATCTTTGTACAAGCTCTCTACCACAAGCTTCTATAAGGCATTATTATGATGATGAATATGATATTTATTTGTTAATTAATGGTGTGTAATTGAATAATTGATAAACAACATTGTTCACGAGCTTCACGCTGATTGATGTTATTATTCATCTGCATGTTTCTGATTCAAGTTCTTGACAGCCGGTTTCTGTAATCAATGATGCGGTTCCAGGAACCGTTTGTATCTTTCGAAGAACGATGACTGTCAAAATAGATCTGCTGTATATGGTGTTCAAATTTGTAAGCACATTCATGCAAATTAGAAAGATTGCTGCATGACTGTGTATATTTATGTACTTGGTGATATTGTATAAATGATACTGATCTCAATTTCACCACCACCACCACGACCGCCGTCGATGTTGTTGTCGTAGGTGGTGTATATGGATATGTAGCAGAGGATTCATTCCACCTGTTAATTCTTACGTTGGAATAGTAAACCTGCTTCCTTCTGTAATATGTTATCAAGATAATCTCTTCCATACCTAGGTTATTGTTTTTCAAATCGGAAACATTTGCAGGGGTGTGATCTGTCTGTCGCAGATACATGTGAAGGTACATAGCAGATTTATGTTATGTAAATGGTGTGGTGGTGAAGCAGCTTTTTGCAGTGGACGCATTTTTCTGTAAAATATTAATATTAAATCAAGGGAGGGAAGTGAAGAGCTATTCTTAAAAGATTTGACTATTGATTTTAGACGTAAATAGCATTCCGTACTATATATAACACACTAGTGCAAGGGGGAATCGATCTGTCGAAATGAAGGCCGTAGCTGTGCAGAGATGTTGTGGGTGTCGCGCTGCAAGGACAGTGTTGGCGTCGGCAACGTTGGCAGTGAAGGGCTACTGCGCTAATGCTAGCGGGAGGAAGGTTCATGAGAAGAATCTTATCAGCAATACGTGTACAGTTATGTAAGATCGAGCGTCTTTAGATCTGGGTGAATGAATGATGGGTAGGGGAAGGGTGGAGGTGTGGGGAGCTAGGGACGAGGTGTGGGGGGCTAGGGAGGGGGTCGGGATAGTCCTGTATTCACACACGGACGCTAATTAGTAATTTGGTCACTAATACTACAATCCACCATCCCCCAATCCCTGTCCAACACCATCTGTCAATAGTCTGTCCTTCTGTAGTACGTGCTTAATCTCGTAAAGTATTTGTTCTGATAATTACAATGTTTGTTGCTATGTTCATATCAGTTAATACATGAATTCTGTTAACAAACTAGTAGATAAAGGCGGTAAGTTTAAGTCCAAACACAAAGTTTACCCTGACGTAACATTAAACACTGGTTATCTTCGGCCGACGTTTAATGAAACAGCTGGCAAAACATTAACTTCAAAACAATAATTTTTAAGAGTATTCACTGATATATGTACACTTTACAATAAATAACATGCTCTAAAACACTTACACCAAATGTATCAAGCTTAATAGACATATGTTTGGTCGATTAGAATTAGCATTTACAAAAGCATTGTACATGTCCACTAACAAACTACTAGTATCTCGTGCATCCCGGCCCAGATGGCGCGTTGTTGACGTGTTGATACCCGTTGGCACGTGACGTTGTGTGGATCGAAACTGCTGTCATTACTGAGAGGACAATTTGTTTCGCGATATTTGTGTTTCACTTGTTGATGTAAACCCCTCACAGTCCCTGAACCTTTGGCCAGCTGTCCAACCTTTTCTTTAATATGGAAGCCCTAATTGGAACAAGTTTACAGTTTCCTCGGGTCTAATTTTCTGTCGGGTCTAATGCCTCCTTCTAATTTTCAAATTATAAACTTTCAGAGGTTAAGCGTCAGTCCATTGTAAACCAACGACCTGAAATGACGTTCGTGGTTTTACAAATCAAGACAGCAAGGGTTCAAAAGGGTTAAGCTAAGAACAATCGTGAATAGAGGGTTGACTGGAGAAAAATCTAAATAAAAATATTCATTTATATTCAGACTGTTTAGATGGGGTGTGGCATGAGTGGATGTCTGCCGGATGTTGTCAATGGCGTACAGTACCATGTGATGTTTAGCGGTTCATTTGAACTAACACCCAAACCGAAACATTTCATCAGCTTGTTCCTAATAATCGTCTTATATTGAGCTACAATATCATATACTATATTATCATCTAACTGGGTCATCTCCCAGGTAGGTGCGTTGTGTTTGAGCATATTTTGTAGTTGGGATGGGTGTGTAATCACGTGGGTATATATGACCACGTTTTTAGTTAAATCTTGAAGGCGGACCCAAGGCAACCCGGACATATTTGAATGAATAATTCCTCGAAAATGAAATTGTTGACTCGCTGTATGGGTTGTCGGACGTTCAAGAACATTCTTTGTTTTCTCGGTTATCACACAAACAACTGTAAAACATGTTGCTAATATAAAGGAAACATTTAAAACACGAGCCACCATATCCTAGTATATATTAGACAGACAGACAGACAGATAGTTTATTTGAGTCTCACCTCATATATACAGTAAAGGTACACGTAGAATTGGAAAAATATAACAGTATAAGGAATATATGAATCACTCTATAAGAGTTACGAGAGACTTGTATATATGCTAAAAGTTTACACAAACACATACATAAGTATATACCATAAATAATATTAAAAAAAAAAAAAAATGCATAATCATATAATGTCCAGTGCCTATGTCACTGACGTCAGTAAACGTCATCCGACGCTATGTATAGTACACAAAAACATCAACACAGTACACCAGGTGTATATAGGTGTTGGCTATCAGACCATGATGCAATTAAGCCACTGTATACCACTGCATGGGGTTGTACGCCGGCCTCACCTCTTGACATAGTTTCACCTCAACGTGTAACCGCACCTAGATCTGTAGACAGCACGAACAATGTAACTTTCCTGTGATTTGTGATATCGTTAATATCGGATTAGGTGGGGCGGTACAAGTGTAAGTATATATAGGACAAAGGAGATTATAAACTGCATTCAAAAAGTATGAAACGTATTTGTCGGATTTGCACTCTACAGTTACAGCGTAATGGAAACCTTCCAGCCTGTATGATGCAATCATGAACATTCCCGAGCTGATAGTAAACTTCCAGGATATCACGTGATGTATGAATGGGTTGGTAAACACGCACGGCTTTGGAATGTAAATATACCAGTGAAGGGCGTTGATTGGTCAAAGCCGCAGATACCGGCCAATGGCAGGCGGGCATGTCTACCCACGCACAATAATCGAGTCGATATGGAAATGTGGAGATCGATGTGTGACCTGCTGACCCCGAATGACGTCATTGTCCTCGTCACAGTGATCCCTCATGTGTCTGTGTGATTACGGGCAGGAATATAGCGTTATTGCTACTTACACTAAAACAACCTTTCAAGAGCATTCATGACTAGGATTACTAGCATGTTGTACACCGAGCTGGGCCATCAACAGAACAACTTGAATAAGATACCCACCAGGCAGGGAAGGGAGACAACTACATATTAGTCCTATATTTCAAAGATTACTTCATACGGTGCCAATACCATATATAGCTTTAGCCTATATGAGAGACTCTGCCAAATAACTAATATCTGTTGAAGTCTAGTGAATTAATGAATTGCTTTTGCCGTGGCGTAATTCCCCAGTCAGTGGTATTTCAATATAACCTTAGATTCTGTTACCTGTCGATTTTCACTTTGAAGCTATAGGTTAACCAGGAATCAGTTCCTAAAGACATGGCGGGAAGCAATAAACAACAAAGTAACGCTGTACAATAAATAATCGTAGGCTATTCTAAAATCAACTAGGCTTACAGGGGGTCATTGAATTTGTACATGACATGCAGGTGTGTGTGTTGGGGTGGGGTGGGGTGGGTGGGGGTTACACACACACACACACACACACACACACACACACACACACACAAATTATGAACGGTCCGTTATGTAACTTATGTTATATTTGGGGACTTTTTTATAGTATATTACAGGTTCTAGTACTTTTGTTGGGTTGAGTGTCATGTGAACTTCAAACCCAACGTAAGTACAAGCATCTGTACTCATTTTACTGAGAAATGTAATCCCTAATATAGCATTACATTATATATATATTTGGGGGGCATTCACATTGTACATGCTGCTCCATCATATCTCACACACACACACACACACACACACACACACACACACACACACACACACACAACACACATGAACGGTCACACACACACAACTCATGTAAATTTGAACGGTCCGTTATGGAACTCATGTTTATTTGGGAGTCAAGTAAAGTACAGGTTCTAGTACTTTTGTTGGGTTGAGAGTTCTGTGAGCTTTAAACCCAACGTCAGTACTAGCATCTGTCCTTTACTGAGAAAGTGTAATCCCCAATATAGCATTACATTTGACCACTTAATAAATCACATTGCGTGTTCACTGCTGGTCTTGGTGTAACTAGAGATGACAAGCATGATATGTTAAGGTGGTATGAAATTTATGATCTTAATGCAACAGTCATAGAATATGTTAACATCCATGGGATCCATTATTCAAACAGCAGCTACATCATTAGACTGGCATCCGGTAAATTTGCCACACACAGCTGACGCCAGAAACATGTGTTACCTATTTTGCAATTTATAGTGCTTAAAAAGGACGGTTACGTATATCATAATAAAATGTGTCTGGAGTATAAGGATCATTTACAATATCATA